TTCCAATGATTGCTGATGCATATGTGACACGGCTTGTAGCACATGTGCACAGTCCCAAGCATAGCTCCATGTTTCAACTTCGTTTATTCACAAAGACATCCTAACGCTTGGGCTGACAGACTGCCAAAACTAGAAGAGAATGATGCCATATGCCATATGCTGTGGCAATGATCCCTCAATTGGGGCAATGCTGCAGCCACTGCTCCACAAGTCTGACAGTGGCCAGCTCCAGCAAATAAGGAAATTGTGTTGTGTCAAGGCAACAAATGCTGCTTTACTCAAGTGGAGAAGCACCTCAGCAGGATTGCTTTGCCATTGTTTTGAATTGCCTTATGAAGGCAAAGCAGTGCCCTTGCACGTTGTAGGTACTCAGTGGGCATACCACAACTGTGTCTACAACATCAACATGGATTCATGTTGTGCAACTGCACATTGAACACCCTACAACAACTAGATGTTTCCAGTGTTGGCTCAAATAACGGCAGTACTGCACCTTTCGCTGCCTTATGCAGTTCCCTCGTTCACCTTGATGGGGCTGTGATTTACAGCTCAATGGAACCAGTCACCTGCACAAACAAAGAGCAGACTCAAATTGTAGCTACTGTCAGAAACCACACTCGATCCATCCCGCCAGCACTTCTGAGCTTTGGCCACTGAGGCAAGCACATGGTGCAACACATGCGGGAGGAATCGGATGGGGTTGTCCATTGTGTTGCAGATGATCAATTATGCTACAGGTGTTACATATCCCCCTGCAGTTATGACATGAGCACAGCTTGAAGCGTACCCTTACAACCATCAGCATCAAGAATCACCGTCAGCATCCACCTGGTAATGTTGAAATCTGCTTTGTGCTAGCCGTGAATGATGTGCCTCACAGCAGCCCCTTCTTGGAAGCTGAAATGATTCCTTGCAATGCTGTGGTGCTGTTCAAACAAAAGCATGTGAGCAAAGATCGAATCCCGCCACAACATTTTAGCTGTTGCCTTTGCACTGACTTTCACGAAACATATATACTCCCAAACAAATGATCGAAAATAGAACACCCCTGGAAATGAGATGATGAAGCAGGTTCATGTGCCTGGCCAATCGATGTTACAGAGTGTGGACAACCCGTTTGAGACATTCCTTCATATGCATTTGGTGACAGACTGTGCATTGGAAGAAACAGACTGAACTTCTCAACAAATCTACTTGCCTTTTCACAGCATGGCTGGCAACAGCTGTAGCAGAGCAGGGCACATGGTGGCTGAATTCATTGTTGGGTAATGACCAGATACCACCTGCCCACACACAATATTTCAAAATGCCAGGATGAGCACTTCCAATCAAATTTGCATACAGGTAGGTGTCAAAGATTTTCTGAGGGCAGAAACACATAGTACAGGAATGCTTTGGCATACTGAGGGGAATCTTGAACAACATACTTGACCATTGATTGCCCCAGACTCTCACCATAGCAGATCAATCACACAGTCTCATTGGCCTGCTGCTCGGCGCAGTAATGCTACATTGAGATCGGGGTCAGCGTGACGCTTGGAGACATGCAGTTGGTCCTCTTCCCTGAAACGTCGTGTTTCACATTTCCAGCAGCCTGGAGTGTACAAAGCACCACTTGCTAGCAAGATATCCGTTGCAACAGTCCTGAGGGAACAGTTAATGTCTAGAACAAACCACCAGAAAGTGAGAATGTAGGCACATGTCAGCAGCAAGCTTTGTGAGACTCAACTAGACCACAAGTCTCATGATGGATTGACCTGTCCCTAATGACATTCATTCAGCATCATCAAAGCCTTCGCATACCATCGCCCACGCCCTTAAGCCAACACTGTGCTCAGGTGCAGACTGTGGAAAGTGGCGAGTGAGCTCGCAACAGGCAATTCCTGAGTCCACTTGGACAGCCGAGCACATTTAGACGTCGAGAATGTTCAACTTTCTACACTCCGCGCGCGAACGCCTCCCTCAGACGCATTGGCGACAGACCAGCACCGGTCGGCAGGCCCTGGCCACGAACTCTGAACAAGCAAGCCTACAATCACCCACGAACATTGCAGTCCGCTTTGTTCCGCAGCTTGTACGGGGATTCGCAGATGGTTGTCGCCCCCAGGCACACCACCACATTGTCACCCAGATGCCAGGCCACCCTTGGAATTTGCTGCGCATCTGTATTGCATCTAAATGGCGTCAACGGCCGAGCACCGGTGATTTTATGCTAGAAATGTGCCACTGTAGAAGGAAGGCAACGACGAAGGGGCCAACCCTTGAGAGGTGCCCACAGGCTGGAGTACACAGCAACAGAGCGAAAGGTCAGCGGGATCAAAACTGGGTACGAAATCAAGTACTTTAATATACTACGGTTTAATATACTACGGTAAATGCGTGCTTTCATCTGATATACATCTTATCAAAATTGATGAATTCAGAACTGACGCAACATGGGTGAAAATAACGTGATGCTGGTGCCAAAGAGATAGCTCAGACAATAGTTTTGGTTGTGGAGTCTAGGGCAGGGGGCTTGAGGGAGTCCATTCAATCCGTTCCACAACTTTAGCCCAAACCACCTCAATATGGACAAGGTGTCCAGTAAGGTGCAGTTTCTACTAGGGGTGACTTGTGTATATCCATTGAGTTTGTGAGAATGTTGCGAAACCGATTCCCGGATTCAAGAGAGCAATGCTAATTACATTTCTGTCTTTGGTGCACGGAATCGAGGCTCTTAAGCTCCGTAGTATCAAGAAACACATTCAAGCTGGCAGATGATCAATGGGTTGGCTTGGAAAGGATTGTGCCCATTCAGTTTCAAGAGGTGGATTGGTTTCAAGATCTTACCAAGAAGAAAACTGAGCAAAGGAGCCAATCCATTCAAATTTACAGTGTTGCAAAGCCTGGAGGTGTTGCTGTCTTCTGTGCCATGGGGTCCAAATTGTAATTTGAAGGTTCCGCTTATGCCTCCTTGAAGGACTGGAATCCGGGAGATGAATGACATGAGATGAAGCCTCTTTCCCCAGATTCTTCTCTCCATTTCTTGGTGATAGGAAATTGCCTCTAATCAGATTTCCCTTTCTTTTGCCCGTCAACAAATGCACAGCAGATTGACTACAAACGATCTGATTCAATTGTGAATGGCACAATGTGGATCAGTGGATGGAGCAACGCTGGGCTCTCCCAGCGAGTTGTTGATAGTCTCTAATCTCAATTTGAGCACTTGTTATAGAACAAAAGGATTGTCTTGACGAAAATTTCAGAAAATGCACTACACAACATTGATTCCCTTATATTTAATGACATTTAGGTGTTCCTATGCTTGGAAATTGCAGACAATGGGTTAAGGCAGTATGATAATACACAATTTTGTGAATTTGGGTGTTTTGATGCGCAACAGCTCATTGGATAGATCGTGGCAGTATATTGGGTTCCCATGGAACAGATCATGGACGCTGCTGTGCTCGGGCGAAATAGTTGGCTGATAGCTCCCTCCTCGCCTTGACGTGCAAGATTTCCTGATGATGGTGATGACGCCATGCAAAGTTTTAAAGAACGACATCCATTTCGGACATTGTTCATGGTCCAACTAGGCTGAACGAGAAAAGTATCGTTGCACCGCAGCTCCGCTCTCAACGATGGCCATTGTCATTACGATTATTCACTTTCGTTTCCCTCGCAACACCAAAATGCCTGGAGGCAGTTTCTGTCACCACTGGGCATCCCCGCCCCACGGTCAGCGTGTTTCACAACTCTCGTCGGAGTCATGGCGAAGGCGACCAAACGCCGAAAGACTGGAACGCCTGGGCCAAGTGTCCAGCGGAGAGTATCGAAGCGTTGCCAGGAGCGCAAGAAAGGGATTCTGGGATCGAAGGATGTCGGCGCACGGAAGCGAACCAGCAGGGGGAGGCCAGCAAAGAGAAGTGAGGCGCGCCGTTGCGGCGTTGGTCTAGTTTCCAACCTGAACAGCGTTGGAGGTTCGTCCTGGTGAAGGGGTGAGATCTTGAAGAGGGGTCTTTGTTCTGAGCCATGCCATGGGAAGACATCCATAACTGGCGCGGATGTGTGGAAAAGATGCCGCGTTTGTGCAGAACCTCCTTGCCTTGTCATATCAATTAGTGACGCGTGGCTGTTTCCCACGCAGGAAACGCTGACGCGAAAGCGGCATCGCTGAAACTGAGGAGAACAACGCCGAAACGGAAAGGTCGACCACAGGCGCAGCCAGCTTGTTGGTTGCCGGTCCACAAATCCGTAAGATTAAGATCCACAAGGGGGGCGCAACAGCTGCAGCCAACCAGAGGTAGGAGCGCGTTTACCATGGCCTTTTGTTCTCTGGCTTTTGTAGAGTTTGGCACGGATGGGCCACCGCGGACTGTGTTATTATTGTATTCACAACATCAGGACGGGATCAAGACACTGCGCCTGTCCAGCAGACCACGCTTCCAAACCAGGCTGTTGAATACGGACTTGTTTGGAAGTAACATGAGCCCCCTTGTGAAAACGCACAACTGGCCATTCGCATCTCCACAGGCGCAAGCCGAAGGTGCTGTGATGGGTGTTGTCCTCGGCATGTGCCCCCATGGAATGTGAGCAAGCAACATGGCACCTATGGCAACAAATTTTAGGTGGTCTAACATCGCACTCGCCCATTCGCTGACATGTTGTTTCATGTCTTTGTCCTTGGAGTGTGTTCATCAGTAGGTTTTGATGCGAACACTTGCACAGTGGAGGCAATGGGCAGAGTTGGGGGGTGTTTTAGGTATGGCTCCAGGCCATTAGTTACTATGTCATCATGTAGTGCCTCAGCGGCATTTCAAAATTTTCTTTGCGCATTGAACATTTCTTATCAAGTGTCACAAGTTTTAAATGTTGTCCTCTTGTTGTATTCTCACAATTTGTATCCATTGCCACTCTGCAACAGGCAACTGTGCCCTTCAATTTAGGTGTGTTCTTGTGGCACAGGCACTGACGCATGCCTGCAGGGTCGCAAGCATGGATTTTCACCACGGGAGCACCTGATGGTGGTTCACATGAATGGATACAGCTTCCATGTGCACGACTGTGCATACATTGTGCTGGATTGGGACAAATTTGAAGCGAACCATAATGACGCAGAGCCATGTGTGTATTGTGGCTCTGTGGATGCCACAGAGGAGATGTTGGAGTGTGACAAGTGCCTGAAGGGATACCACACGGCCTGTCTCACCCCACCGCTCGAAGAACTGCCGCCAGTGAGTCTAAGCGCTTCACAAATCTGATTGATGCTACACTGTGTCGCCTTGACACAAGCTCAGCATCTGGAGAGTTCTAAATGGCCTTGCACACACACCAAGGCAAGGAGCTGTTTTCGCACATATTGAGGAGACTGCACATTGTTATTTTTACTCTTCGCTTTGCGCATTCACCCTAGGCAGATCAGGATTGTTGCTGTCTGCAGTCTTCGGACCATTGCAGATGCAGGCGTGGTGATATTGTGTTTGTGTACAGGATGATGTGGCTTGGATTTGCCCCTTCTGCGAAACTGGGAGCTCTGCTCCCGAAGGAGCAACTAAGACCGCACGTGAGCTGTATTTGGGAGGAGACTCAATTTTGGCAGTCTGCCGAATAGAGGCACTGTGGGAGGATGCAAATGGTGAACCGTACTGTAAAGCTCGCTGGTACTGGAAGCCAGAGGAAACGCACACGGGCAGACAGGTCAGCAATGGTATCGATGTGATGGGGTTGCTGTAAACAAATAATGCACACAAAAGCCTGGATGTATGCAGGTCTGGCCATCTGGTTTTGCTTTTATCAACTGGAGCATGTATTGTGCACATGCCGCCAGAGTCCGATCGTGCTTAGATGAACTCCAATTTGTCGTTCAGGGAAGATTTTAGTGGAGACTTCTGGGGCCATTGGCCAAGTGGCACTGAAAAGTCTGCCTCAAGAAATAACTGTCCCTTACAACTGTGAACTTCCCATCGCTGCAGTACAACAAAGTGGCATGTACCTGTGTATTGGTGTTACATCACCGTTGTATCCCCATGGACCACATGGGTTTTTCAGTGGTCAGCTGTTTGCAAGCCTTAGACTATTTTTGCTCAACTTTTGTGCTGAATTCACGACCACAAGTCCACAGATACAAAAGGCTCGTGAACGGTGAATTCTTCATTGCTTGAGTAGAGATGTGAATTCCTGCAGGCTGTCCCTTTCATCTTGTCCCATTAATCCAATTCCACTTGTGGTATTAGGAAATTGCTAGCGCTTGCAAATGTAACGAGTTTGGAACATGTCATGACAAGTGATGGTGCATTGTTAGAGGCAACATGCTGCACGTGAGATATTTCTGGGTGAACACTGCGATGACAATCCAGTGGATGCTCTGCTGCGGCCAGTACAAGTGCTGGCACCAGAAAGCTTTGGAAAGGCCAACGAAGGGGATGACGTGTATTTGTGCAGATTGAAGTACAACGCACTTACCAAGGTAACCGCCACAAGCTGTCCCTCATTGTATGTATGGTTGTTTGTTGTCGCATTACCAGCTACCAAATGGAAGACAAACCATGCTGCAGCTGTTGCAGCTTCGTTTCTGCACAGTACATGCCTGCTTTCCGCGCAACTGTGATTCCTGCATGTT